CGGCCCTCTTCGCCGAGGGTGAGAGATCCCGCTCCACCGCCTCTGCCTACCTCCTCGTCATCCACCACATCAGCCGTCGCTGCTCGTTCATCTTCGTTCATCTTCTGGGACCAGAGCTCCATCTTCCCAATGGGCGGAGGAAGAGGTGGCCCTTTTTAGCGACGGAGTCAACGAGATGTATGGGTAGTATGAAAAACGGATACTTTGAATTATTTATTGTTCATTTTTTTACTCGATTTTTAGGAGCCTTTCAACTTTTATTTGGATAATGTTTTTTCTACGGTAATTGAAAATGCACGGTTCATACGAAAATCATACTTATGTTCTTTGATTATGAGTATAGCTCTTTTACTCAGAATTATAAAAAGTGAAATTATAAAGTTGTGGATGATATGTGAATCAGATCATCAGATGCATACTTGCAACTAAAACGGATTGGAAAGTCAGCCAAAGATTTATCCATAGAGTTAAGCACAACATTAATCGCAACAACTGTTTTTCCAAGCACCTCATCGTCCGTCAATATTCCATTGTGAGAAAAATCTTCAGACAATGGATGATAATATTTATCCCACAATACTTGTAAATCGGTAGTTATGCCGTAAACAAGGAGCAACGCAAACAACACACGCAGACACGAAGGAGCCTGAAACAGAGCCGCCTCTGCCAAACAACTATCAATGTAGTCATCAGATTGTAGAAGTCCTCTTGAGACAGCAGCCTCACGAAAGGTCGCAAATGTGTGGCCATTCACGGTTAACAAATCTTGAAAAGAAGTTGGGCAACATACATTAATCAACAACAGACGCTCAAAATAGCGCTCACCTTCAAACGGATTAACTGTGCAAAGACGACCAACTACAACTTGTTTATGTCGAACTTTCCACTTTTTCTTGGCTGGTTCCCACACAAAGTACTCTGGAAATTCTTTATACAGAAGCTTAAGACGCATTGCTGATTCATCAGAACTGTTGGAAACAAAGAATTCTGTCAGCATGGTCTTACTCGATGAGGGATCATCAAGAACATGCCTTAACGACTGTTGCACACCAAAACGTAATGGCTGGTGATTTGGTAGATGTACAGGCATTACTATGACTGGGGACACATCTCGCTCATCAAGAAACCGTATATTCTCCAGCATGCCTCAGGAGCACATATCCACCGTCCATCTTGATACTCTTGTATTTCGTCACGGATATCCACCGATGCATTTGGAACGTTGTATGCAATTTTATCATCCCCCTTGTGAATATATTTATACAAGTATTTAACCAATTTTGCATCAGCACATATTTCAACATAAATATGACAATCAAATTTCGATAGTAGAAACGGACAGTAAGGCACGACAAATCTATTATCAAGGAGCACGTTTCTGACAAGAACCCTCTGACCATCATCCCTTCGTCTGTATGCAGCATAGCCATTTTTTCCAGCCGTTGTGTTGTCCGAAAATTCCTTTGGAAAGTGATTTTTACATTTACCATCGCGCATGCACACATTCTTAGGATTTGCATCGCCACAAGGTCCATGCATCATATGTTTAACCACACATTCACGCAAAAAATGATTTGAACCAGTTGGGAGCTCAGCCGAAATGAGGTGGTCATACACCGTCGGAGATTTTATCTTATGATGATCTGCCAAAATAATTACCCAATGACAGTGGGGAAGACCTCGTTTCTGAGACTCAACCGCGTACACATAGGCTGCAACATCACCGAAAATTTTGTTCTTGATAATATCATGCTTCAGTTCCTGGAGTTTTGACTGAAAAACACGAGCAACAATATCTGGTCTGTCAGCCGGTTTTTGTCCAGGCAACAACATAGAAGTTATTTCTTTCCACGCCGGATTGCATGTCATTGTTATAAAAAGATCAGGTTTGCCAAATTTTTGAACAAGACTCATGGCATTAACGTATCGGCGCCGCATATCTCTTGGACCACCAATAAAAGAAGACGAGAGTAGGATTTTCTGTCCCACACCAGACGGCTCAATCTCACCATGAACGTGTAGACTATCAATAATACCCTGAAATGATTCAGTCCGAGTTTCTTTCTGAACTTGCTCCGATCTATAGTAATCCAACCGCTGTGTCTCTACTTTAATGTACATATCAATTATATATTGTTGAGTTAGTCGACCGGCATGCAATAAATACGACCAGTCACCATCCCTCGTTTGCGCTTTGTAACAATAATATTGCCTGCATGAAACATTCGAGCGGTTTCGCCTATTCTGTTGGAGCACTGAAAAGAAAAGAGTTTGCAATCACAGAGGATATGAGAAGGGAAAAATAAACGGAGAAACAAAAAAAAATACAGTGGAAAACCTACCCTGATCTTCAATCCGCGATAATTGTTCTGCAGATTGTACAACAGACGCAGCTGCTATGTCTTGGCCGCTACAAGCACCAACACTCCCTTTCCGTGTCAATTTATGCGACGGCACCAATTTCCCAATCCCTGCATGCCACCCAGGCTCCCCACGAGTAAACAGAAGAGGGTATTGCAACGTATCATAGCAACCGTAATAGTAGCTTATTATACGACTATGACCAGATTTGGTGAACACACGTATATCACGTTCCAACCCTGCACAATTCCCGTCACCGTCTTTCCATACAGCAGCAACTTGATCAACTGTAGGAAGATTGTAAGTTCTTTGGTCTAAAACAGAGTCCGATCGGAGAACGATATAAGCATCTGAGAGGTTTTCCCAGGTACTCAACCGCCTGAAAAATTGTGCATACGGATTAACAGAGAGAGCATCTATAAGAAGGGACATTATGTCACGACGAAATTTCTTCTTTTCAAGCATCTCATTAGATAAATCATCCGCAGTGTCCAGGAAAAAAAGTTGTAGCATCTTAGAAACATTTGCATAACCTTTAACAGCATTAAGAAAATGTGAAACCTGACCCACAACTTTTAATGCATAGATTCCATCCCTTGCCCTACCATTACCACGTCCGAAAAGCATAACCATGTAATTAAATAAAGTTGGCAGGCTTTTAAGGTAGACTGCAAGCAGTAGCAGCCCCTTTTTTTAACCATGAAAGATATAAACAGAAAATGGTCTAAGAGAAGAGCTTTGAACGTTTAAAAGATCATACGAACAACCAAATAACTCAAATAACTTCTCCGACAATTGAACAGAACGTAAGTATCGGATGAGAATTATTATTTGAAATAGACAGAACCAGGGGAGCAGCAGAAACAGTAAAAATAAGTAATGGAAAAATAGTAACAATCCAGCATACCATCGTCCAGAGCCGACGAAGAAGAAGCAAGAGAAGAAGAGAGTAAAGGAGTTGGACTGAGCAGCCGAGCACGCTTTGTGGAGGCGTAGCGATCACGTCGGCGCTTATTTACACGCAACCTCTTCCTTTCTCTTGAATCCATAGTAATATATTAAAACACCTGCAAGACCGAGAGGAAATAAATAAATGAACAGGAAGAGAAATACATGCCGTTGACAATGGCCCAAATGCACACACAGTCCTCACAAACTTAAAAATCATTTCACAAATACATGTAACACTCCACACCCAATTCACAAACACAGTAAACTACAAATTCGAGAAGCAAATGACCCCTGCCATTCCCAGGTCTAAAAAAACATAACCATATAATTACAATAGTCGGTATTTTCACAAAAAATATCGCCAACATAGAGCACCGAAAATTAGTACATACCAGAAAGAAATGAAAGTTTAGGATTTAACAATGAAAAATCTGTAAAAAAGTATCGGCAAAAGAGATCTTTTTAGAGGGAGAAAAGAGGCGCACCCAACAGTTAATTGACGGCTTTGAGGCCGGAAGAGGTAGGTGCGCGGAGCAATGGAAAACGGCGGTGTACGGCGGCAACTTTTTAGACGGAGGCAAAAAAGTAGAGGCCGGAACGGTTATCCGAGAATAGTTGCTAAAGAGAAGAGCACGGGGTGATAGTGTTACAGTGAAGAAGTATGGGGATTTGGTGGAAGCAAAATTGGGCAAATTGTACAATCTTAATTGAGAAAGAACATGAGAAGAACTGGATATGGCAGAAGGAGGGAGCCCATCCTCACTTTTTATTAGAAAAAGTTTCATGGTGAGTCACCGTTGGAGGAAGGAAGAGAAGCCACGTGAGGAGGAAAAAGAAAATGAAGAAAGAAAATCGGCGGGGCCCCACCAAAAACGATGAAACGGTTC